GAACCCTATAGATAATAGAATCATCACTGCTTTACAATACCTTCTCTTAAACATGCCTGCCCCTTTTAATCTCCAACGTTTTCTGGAGATTGTGTGGCCTCAGAGGGTTACCCACTGTGTCTATTCCTAAAAATCAGATTCTGCGGGAAAATATGAAGAGCTTCCTTACATTGTTTAAAATGGGAAAAATAGGCTGAGGCACACTTGCGTAGACAAACACACAGAAAAATGTCTGCATATAACTACAACAGAATCTTGTTATGTGTAAACAACTTTAAATATATCTAAGGCATTCCCTGAGTTACAAACATCCCACTTAACATGCTGCTCACACTTACAAATGGAGACTATTAGAGGTAATAGGTAAATGAACCTGTTCCAACTTATATACAAATTCAACTTCAGAACAAACCTATAGAACTTATTTTGTTTGTAACCTGGTGACTGCCTGTAGTTATTTAATCTTAAGAGAATTGTTTTATTTAATTCATATGACTTCAACTATGCTCAAGTCCATACGTTTGATAGTTACTGTGCTTCTCAAAATTTCCCCATTATCATTTTGAAGTTTTAATTAATTGTACTTGCATGTAATTGAAAACTGTTTCTCCCATTGCCATGTGTTTTAAAAAATATTGATTCCAGTGCTTATGTCTATCAAATTCTATTCTCTGTAATGAATCAATGCAAATTTGTAGGTTCACCAGAAGAGCCCTTTTCATGGTGGTAGTTTTATGAATCAGCATTTGGACTGAGCTTAGCTGAGAATTCCTCATTAATGCTTTTTGGGATCACAAATGAGGCTTTAATCAGCTTGTGATATGATTGAGGCTGGTTGGTTTAGGATAGCTACACTTAGACCTTTAGGGGTTCCTGCTGAAATTTGATTGGCTCTTCATTTTCAACATATTAGCCCAGGGTTCTTCATGGTATGACTGTGGCAATCATCAGTAGGCAAGTACTTTTCAATCTATGTTTGTATCACCTTTGCTCATGTCCTCTTGGCCAAAGCAAATCAGATGAGGGAAAGGTTGGGACTATCATCATCAGATGGGACTATGTGAGGGTGTAGATACTTGGAAATGCATTACTTAGAGACGTTACTGAGACAGTGTACAACAAGAAAAATACTTTTATTTTAAATACTTTTTTCTATATAATCATGGGTGGAAAATGTTGGCTTCTAACATGCATAAGTTTCTTTGAAGTGTAGGTATTTAAGCACAAGGGATATGGTAGTGGAAAGATAAGTCCTCTGTGGTATCCCCATGTTAATAGAAAAATCCTTCATATGGCTCAGTGTACTTCTATGAATAGTCTTCTTTAGTGAAGACTAATGCTTTGGTATAAATTATTAAATTATTTCTTTCATGAACAATTGTTGCTAAATCAATTGCTAATATGTGTTTTTATTAACTCAAAAATAAAATGTGTGTCTGACTTTTACCATTAAGGTACCTGTGAGTAATCTTTTGTTGGACTTTTCTTGTCACGTCCTGTATAACAGACTGTTCTCTTACATGGAGGCTTTTCTCTTGTTGCTCTCTTCTAGCGAATGTGTGGAGTGTTTTCAGCAGGGGCATCTAGGGCCACGCCAGGCCAGTTCTCTCATGACTTCACTCCGTTTACCATCTCTCCAACGGATGCTTCCAGAGTCCTCTGTGGGTTTCCTGGAGCAGGAAAAGATGAAAAAATCTCTGGTGAGCTGTTTGTTTCTTTATTCTCCATTTTGTTTGACATGGTATTTTATGAGCTTCATGATGTTCATGAATTAAAACAGACGAGTTAGGAATTAGCAAAAACTTCGCTTCTGGGAAATGCATATACGTTAAAAATGTATATGATATAGGCAGAGTATGAGACCTTAGCATCGTTTAAGTTAACTGCATGTTCTCTTTGGTGTTTTTTTCTTTGGTGGCATGACAAAAAGTCAGGCGTGTTTGTCGTAGAATGATGTAGTGAAAAGATTTTTTATGACTGATCAGGAAATAAACACTTTCAGCATTCAGTAATGGAAAGTTACTTAGGGGTAATGCAAAATTCACATAATAAGGTTCTTCTGGAGTTTGAGGATAGTATGGTCCCAGACAATTTTACAAGGATTGTATTTGACTCGTGGATAAACCTGGAGTATCTAGAACAGTGGTTCTCAACCTGTGGGTCGTGACATTAGGGAGGTTGAGAACCACTGATCTAAAGGAGTGAGTCGAACACAGCTCCTTATGTAAACCTCCATATGATTCTCTCAGATTGTGTGTCTAAGTCAGTCATGCAGCAGTGTGTTGAAAGTTCTGTCTGGCGCATATTCCTAGTGCTCATTTATGGTGTCTATAAGAAAAATTTCTATGTAGTATAATTATTCCTTACAGGTGTTTTGGTCTGAGAACCAGTTTATAGAGTTACCTATGCTTATATTTTAAACATAGATTAAGAAAATTCACAGAAGCTTTCAAAATAAATATACCTTTGTTTGTACAAAAGTAAGTATATGGTTATAGTACCATGGTAGGGTTATTGTGTCCTTAGAGTGCTCTTCTGTGTGAGCCTTCATGGGTATTCTGATACAACTGCAAAATTCATCAAAGAAATGAGAATGATTACTATGAAATCAGGCTTCTGATATATTTTTATGAAATTAGTGGGAAAGCATCACATGTGGATTCATACTATTTAGACTACTGGGGAAATTCTTTTTCAAGTGTAATCTGGGTTACACATTTTCAAGAATCACTCAGTAAAGGCTCTTGAAAAGGTCTTTTGTAAAATTAGTAAA